GAGGGTCGTTTTTGCGAGAGACACTCACATAGGGCAGATTTTCCCAGAAACCAGTTAACCTTTGTGTATTTCTTCTGACTTTAGGAGGAAACAGGAGAACTCAGAGGAAACTCACAGGGAGAACATACTACTCTATGCAGACAGCATCCCATGTTTGGAATTGAACCCAGGGCCCCAGCGCTGTTAGGCAGTAACGCTAACCAATGCATCACCATGCCACCCTAATTAATCTTGTGTTAGATCCATTTTGATCACAGAAAGCCTTTGAAGCCAAGTGTTGGGCCAGGTTTTAGTGACTTACCACATGACGTGTTACCTGTACACTTCAATTTTCTTCTTTTATTTTCACGGCACAGTACCATGTGTTCGCCAGAACAATTTTTTTACATGATACACGATACAGTAGTAATATAAAATAGAAATGTTCATAAAAATACTGAAAATGTGGCTTCATTACCTCCAAGAAAACACTTTCCTGTTTTTCATGCACAAAATTAGTTAACAAACGTATTAATGTATTAAACGTATTAATGTAGTGGGTTTATTTTTTATTCAAAATGCATTCCTTACCTTTTCACACCCACGGTACAACTATCTTCTTGGTTTTCCCACCCAGCCATATCTCTGTTTGAACTAATGGAGCAATGTCACTATGTTGTTTCTATGCATAGGGAGTCTCTATCTACACAGGTTTGACAAATATGGAGAATGAAGGAAATATGTTGTTTTTTTCCATGTAATGGGAATTCTGTGACTAATACAAGGTTCCATTAAGATTTAAGCCAAAAGTGTAAAAATGCAGATGTTTACATAAATACTGTACATGTTGATGTACATTTTTTTCTCAATGTTTTGTTTGGATTCTTCAGTAAAATGTATGAAATCTTCAGTGGTTTTCTAACATTTTATATGTATCTTTGAATTCCTTAAATGCCTTTCTTTCTAGAAAGCACTCAAAACAACTAAACATAAAAAGGCAGGTACATACATTTATTTTGTTTTCCTACACAATGAAAATAAATGCCATACAACAGCTGCAACAAATATAAATAAAAAATACAGTTTAACAATAAACATGCTCATCATAAAAAATAGATTGGCAAAAAAGTTGTACATTTCTATACAGCATATGATTTCTTCATCACCTTTTAACCACGGGCTTTTACAAATCCTTCAGTGAGCTTTTAAATATTTATCCTCTCTAAATTGTCTTGTGATTCATTAAGTAAAGACTGGGATTAATTAAAAAAAAAACACTTGTTGTCCAGTTTCTAAGTTGTTTGCAAAACAAGTTTTACACCTCTGTTCACTGTGGAATTCTCTTAATTAAAGAAGCTTACAAACCACATCTGTGGTCTTCTTTTAATGCCTTGATTCTTGCATGACCCATGCTATGAATTGTGACTTAAAGAGTTTATAGTTTTGCATGCTAACTTTTTTAAACAAATTCAGGTATTAGTACTTCTCAACATTTTTATGCCAGGAAGGATACATGGGAGTGGTGCATTACATCTCTTTGGGCTAGTTGTAAAGCATTATGGTGTAAAATTGATGGATGAAAAGAAGGCTTTTCAGAAAAAGTTCTTGTTGCTGGATTCGCTAGTCCTCATGTCTAAGAAGCACAAAACACCACAGTGAACATAGATGAAAGGACACTAATACAAAACACAAAGAAATGTGTTAAAAGAAAGATTGCAGATGACACAGACTATTAGTCAAACTAAAACATAAGATTAATTGGAAGAGAAAGTACCCATTTGGTATGCTTTGATTTTAATATCCATTCATTCAGGGAAAACAATTTCTTTTGTTAAATAAATTGGAGAACCATCTGTGCTGTTCAATGTTTGGCAATTTACAAAATGCTGGCATCGGTGAAAAATAGTGTTTAGTCCCAGGGGCACTGCTCTTGTACTTTTGAGTTGGGTACTTCTCTCAGAGTGCTTCAGAAACAATGTCCAACTCTATTTACTGTAAATGGGTATACAAGTAAGTCATTTGAACAAATCAGTCAAATAAACTAGTATTAACTAGTATAAGTCATTAAACTACTGTAGTATTTAAATATGTAAGATTCTAAGTACTATTTTATTAATTTAGCAAAATAAACAATATTATAAATATTTTTAAATGAAAATGATCATTGGAATATATATCTTACCTGAAATTTAAAGAACTAGAAATGCTAACTTATTGTGACACATTATGATTCCAATACTAAATAAAATGAGTAAAGGGAAATTTAAGGAAATACTGAAACAGAAACAGAGAATATCTATTAAGACCGTTTTTTTTATTTTTGAAAGGCAGCTGTTCATATAATTTATTATGTACATGCAGCATTATTAGTAAACCCTTTGATATTTCCTGTTGGTATTTTTATATGCTGAACATCTGATAAAAAATAGGCCATCTAGCAAGAGTGACCTGTGAAAATGCTGTGGGGAAATATCCATCCATTCATTACCAATAAGCCATTTATCTTCACTAAGGTAACAGTACTAAGGGAATATCCAAAAAACAATAATGAAACCCATTTAACTTTGCAGTAACCACAGTACACTTTATTTAGCATGAATTAAGTACTACCACACAAAAATACTTTAATATTTCAGAATCATCGTTCAGGGATAAAACATTGAAATGGATCATTAAAAAGTAAAGGGGCAGTTAAATGTCTAGTGAAGGTATTGCCAGGAGAAACATGGTTTTATGAAGAGTGAAGTTGTAACCAATAATTAGAAGAATTTACTATTTTACTTTAAGGATCATAAGAATCAAATTTAGGCCCATCTAGCTTGGCTGGTTGGTATTGGTCCAAGGATCAAAGAGACATTTCTTGAATCAAACTTCTAAAACATGGTTTGGTAGCTTGTTACAGAATACTAAAAACCTTTTTTTATATCTATTTTGTTTCCATCAATTTATTCAGCTTAAGTCATCCATTTCCAAATCAACAGTATAAATTCAAACTTTAAACCAAGGGTGGCCAAATTGCAGCTCCCAGCTGGCTCATTGTTTTCTCTCAGTAAATTGCTGAGTCGCATCTTGAGGAAAGGGAAAGAGATAGAAAGTATAGATAATAAGTGATCCTACTGTGAAAGTATCAAAGTTTGTATCACTATTTATATAGAGATTATTTTATTTTCTGTCAGTTCTTTACATTTATATACAAACATAAGAAAAGCCATACAGCATGTTTGGTTGGTAGTGGTGAAGCAGCTGAGCACTTGGTTAACCTTACATGGTAGTCTATCGATGAGTTCTTTTTTATTCAGTTGTACATTTTAGAATTTCAAAGATTTGAGTTTGCCTTGTGTCAGTATCTCCACCTTCTGGTTATGAATTATGGCTTTAAAGAAACTTCAACTAGACTTTTAGTGTCACATATTGTGTGGCTAAGTATCCTTATCCCTTAATTTTTACATCCTTAACTATCCTGAACTTTTTTTCAAAGACAATCACAGAAGTGATTGTTGTGTTGAATCCAGTAAAGGAAAAATGACAAATAAGCCATATTCTATCTTTACAGACACACTATGGCCAGTGGCATCTCCTCAATGATAACATTGTAGTTTGGTCTAGCACTTCCCAAGCACATATGAATGCCCCGCTACAAGTCTCAAATAAAAGTTTAGATGGCCTGAGTGATTTCTCATTTTTACAACAGTGGTTAGTACAAGTAAGGAGAGTACAGCTGTCATTTACAAGAAAATATTTCAAAACTATTTAACAGAAGGAACAGTTCTGCTTATAAACACAGAAAATGGTATTTAGTCAATTTAAATAATAGGTCCTAATTCAAAGAAAATGTATTTAATGGTTTTCTTATTTAACTCTTTAACGTTATAAGAGCAACTTATTAAAATGTCATTATTAACAATAATGTACTTAGAAAAACACATTAACTAAAATAATTGTGGGGATAATTTTAAGAGTGATTAAAATTCTTCCTTTTTATTTATGTGCATTCTGGCTCTTGGACATATAAATTGGTGTATGTGAATTCTACAATTAGAACATTTGGCCACCCCTGCTCTAAACCTTTGGTAAGTGTAAAGTGAGATGAACCAGGTAATAAATAGAAACTTACAGTATAAACTCCAGTCCTCAGGCATCAAAATACTGACCAAATACCTTGGCATAAGGACAGTTCACCTTTAGAGACCTAGGTAGAATTGTGCCACACCAAAGAAGGCAGCCAGCCAATGAACACGAGGTTAGCCAGACTGAGTATGACTGTCATGACATTGCCTTTGTGTTGTACAAGTAAAAAAAAAAAGATTCTGCATTAATATTTGAGGATCTGGCAGGTGAACACAAAAACTGACCTAGTATTCTATAGTGATGTGTGTGATGGTACAACAGAGCTTGCCTATGTAAACACAATAATACTTTATCAAATATCAAACGTGTTAATCTGCTATCAGCAAACATATTGAAAATGTTTTGTTGACAAAACGTTTAGAACTTTTAGCGATTAAGGTAAGCTGCAGTAGAGAAAAATCTGAAATCTCTAATGAAACATGCATAGTTTCGTACAAAAATTACAGAATCAGACCTATTTATGAAGTTTTGTATTTTCACATAGTCGCTGATGGGATGATGCTGTTGTACCTTCGAGTACTTCACTTAAATTTGCCCTAGTAAATGCCTTGCTCTACAAATGAATCTCTAGGTCAGCAACATCAATGAAAATGTGCTATCAGTGGATTCATCTAAATAGATAAAGGATTAAAAACAAAACTTGGAACCTGTTTTTAAACAGCTCTGTGAGTATTGTAGATATATATTTTTTTTCATTTTTGAAAAATAAAAAAAGACAAATTGGTGTGCACACTGGCAAACTCTTTGTGAATCTGGTCCAAGGATATTTAGAAGTGTACATAGATCAGGAACATGAATTTTTACATTCATACAGTGTAGACTAGATGCTTGATAGCTTGACAGGGACTGGAAATGTACTGTAAGTCCAAAAAGAAAGAAAGTGCCACCATTCTTGTTTGCTTGTTTTAAGGAATTGCTCCTCTCCAGCAACATTCCTTGCTTGCCCATGGGTCTACCAGTTTCCTCAAATGACAGTTGTGACTTTCTTCACAACCAGTGGTGTTTTGAAAGCAGACTTACATCCTCTGATCCCTGAAATACAGATAAATGAAATTAATGACATGATGGGTGCAGAGTTAAAATTCCTGCAAAATAATATATCAATGATTAAAAGTGTTTAAGTCACAAATAAGACTAAGAAAACCAACTATACCTCAATGAAGTACTACACAATATTTTTTAGTACTCTGATTAATTATCTTGTATTAATTATTTCCAGACATACTCTATTTGAAATACAGCAGTGAATGCAGAAGGGGAGTATTAATTGATTTATTTAGTTATGTACTGAATAATTTAAATCCCCATTGTCTAAGAAAAGATTTGTCACAATTTCAGTCATTATATATCCACATATAAATACAATTACTACATACAACATTCATGGTAATTAAATCCATTTAAGAAAATACATTTCTAATTCATCCAGGTTTATGTACAATAAAAACAAGATCACATTTTAAGTACAAACTATCAGTAGGTTGTATTTGGTAATTCTAACTCTCAGGAAATGCAAAAAAAATACTGTTTCAAAGTAAAAAAATGTGTTTAGTCCATCTGTTTTAAATATTATGGTTCAAAATAAGTCTAAAACTCTCAGATCAATAGAAAAAGCATGATGGGACTGTTCTGTTTATTGAACAAGGAGTAATAGAAGACAAACATGCCAAATGTACTGGTATTGGCATGGTTTGTTGTAGACAGGTAAACCTGCAACCTGGGCTTGTGTCTGTGTACTGCAACAGTTAAAAGTGCTCATTCATGACACTAGGGTGGTGGAACACTTGCTTTTCATTAGATTATGTACTTGCAGACAGAAAGCAGAACATAGTATAACAGAAAGAACAGACTCCCTTCTTGTCTCGCAGAACTGGGAGTTGGGAGACCACCTCCAACTATACACTTTAGAGCAAGAGTGTCTACCAGTGCAAGCATGTACAACAGGTTTAACTGAATGTAACACTGAAACAGGAACAGCAACTGGCAGGAGCAGAGGGCACAAAGAACAGTTTTTTCTCAGTCTAGACCCCATCATTACTTCATCATAGCTTTACGTAAATAATTAAGTCTGCTTAAGGCCCTTTAATTCTGCTCAGAGTCCATGGCCATTACAGCAACAACAGGCATAGTCCAACAATAGTTGGGGCCATTTTCTATACACCAGTATGATATTGTAAGTGGTAGGTACAATATCAGAATTATAACCTTTAACAGAGGAATTGTTTCAGTGTGATGCTGCTCATACAACATAAATGGTATTACCTGTTGAATTCCATCTTACAGTTACCTTACGTTTGGCTGCTAATGTGTGTGGATTGTTGGTTTAAGTGTGCTGCTGCATTGAAAATGCAACTCCTATACATGTTGTAAAACAAAAATGTTTCCCAATACATTGCGTGACAATGAATGCCAATTATGTGTTTGGCAAAGGACACCATTTATTAAAAGGGCAGAGTATCAAAGCGCAGACTCCTAATTCAAATGTGTTGGAAATGTCACCAAGCCCTATAAATGACAAAAGCAATTTGAGAGCATTGTGGCTTGTGATGGTGAGAATGAAGGATATTCCCTTCCTCTGTTTTCTAACTGCAAAAATATACCAACACTGAGCACACAGGATACAAATACAATAATAACCACACAAAAAACAATCTTATGTGGACCATATGAAATGTGCATAGAATCCCTGTAAATGTACTTTAGAGCACAGCGCACATCTGGTGATGGTGTTCAATATTCATCCAAAAAGTGATTGAAGGTATAAATGTTTTTTTTCCCTGATTACATATGGCAGCTGAAAACAGCAGGTGTTGATCTGCTTTCTGCTGTTGATAAACAGAAGCACTGAAAAACTCTGCAGTGTAAATCATACAGTAATATATGCAAAATATGAGAGATGCTGCCCCATACATACATTATATTTATTATATGTGTAATAAATCAAGAGTGGTGATATGAAATACTGATTATAGACTACACTAAAACGAATTCTAATAAATTAGAAATGAAATAAAATAAATGAAAATGAATAATAACCCCAATTTAAAATAACAGATAAAATGCCTCCAATAGTCAAGAATAAAAACTGACTAAGCATAGTATGTTTGTTTCCATGTATAAACAGTATTTAAGATGACACAATATTGTAGACAAAAACATAGAAGCTAAAGGCTCTACTAAACTATCATTTACAAAGACTGCAAGTCCCTGAGTCCAGGGACGTCTCTAAACCAGCATCCCAAAGATACAAGCATCAGCCTGGTTGTGTTTATTTTAGATGAAAATAAACACAAAAATATTTTTACAGTATGTACATGCTAGCTCCCCTGCCCCTAAATTTACTTCAGGTCTCATCAGAGCTTAAAAGTATCTGGTGAGCGTCAGTGGATGCTTTGTTCATTTTTGGAACTTGTTTTGCAGTGTCTTCTTCAGCTTTGGTACAGCCGACCTAGATCAACCATTCACCACTTAGTCTGCTACTTAAATTTCCTTAACTCTCACGCGTCTCAGCCCAACAGTATCACCCATTCCAAGGAAAGATGTTCAGGTAAAGAGAATCAACTCCAGTGCTCTGTTCCTAGCCCACTACCACTAGTCTTGTAGGCTATCCCATACTCCAGGTCTGTTTTAACAGCAGACAGACTTCTGATAAGTGGACCCCTTAGCAACCTCAACCTGACATGGGGACTTTCAATAAGAACCCATATAATTAATATAAAAAATTATAAATTATGTGATACAATTTTAGGCAGCATTACTGCTATTAGAAATGCAATGTATTTGGAAAATGCTATTATTGTTCTGTCCTCAAATTATAGGGGCATAATATAAAATATGCTACAAAAGGTGTTTTTAGTTTTTTTTTAGGCTGTTGGTTCTTTCTCTTACATCATCATTTTTGTCAAGTAGAATTTCTAAGACCCAGCAAATTACATTACCATGATCAGTGATATATACTGTATGTCAGATAGTATGGTATTGGCTAGCCAACTTACATTTCCAACACCAATCCCAATATGACTAGCATAGGTTCTTTGGTGTCAAGTACTTACTGTATCTTTGCTTACTTGTATATTTTATAATATAGAAACATACAGTATATTAACTGGTAACATGTACTGTATATCAATTTTTATCAAAACATGTTTTCTCATTGTTTTAATGCTTTGATTCTGAGCTGAGTATTAGCTTTTTTCTTCTAATGAAAATTGAGATTTACATAATACAGTGTGTGCCTTGCTATTTCTAGATGTGCACTGCAATACACTGTGGCAAGTTACTGTACAGTATATTACATGTGCAGATGTATATATTTTCTAATATTCATGCATTGAAATCATACATTTGGAGGACTGTTCTATTATTTTTATTTGGTCCTGTGTATGACTTAACTGAATATGTACTTATACATGTTTGTAGTTTACTTGATGCTATAAAGCAATCTCATAGAAACCTAGTGGAATATGAAGTAGGATACTATTTATTTGCATGGCCAAGATTGATTTGACAAAACCTAAAGAAAATTATACTTGGAAATAAAGTAAGAGCTTTACTGAGGCAAACTGGATTAAACTGGACAAAAAATGGATTATACAGTACAAAATAATGTATATCTATGTTTAATGGCAATCCTTACACTTTTATTTTGATTTTTTTCAATAACAGTAAAAATGTAAGGCAATGTGGAATATTATTAGTGTTACAATACTAAATATAAAACTGGTAAAAAAAACAGAGTTTAAATTAGGTATAAATTAGGTTTAGGTATAAATAAAGTTTGGATAGTTCCTGAATGTAGATGAATTCAATCTCTTATATGTTAATACCCCATTCATTCAGAGGAATACATCAATAATGTTAATGTAGTCAGAATAAATGGGCAGTGAACTGAATGGTTCATTACCTTGAAGGGAAATGCATCTTCTCCAGCTGTGAAATTCAGATTTTTTGACAGTTCAATTAGATTAATGCTGTTTATAAACTGAAACAGTTCATACCGCAGGACATGATATCTTCATACCTTCTGACAATGTTTATAGAACTCACTTACAGTAGCTGGAAGTATATTTAAAGAATATGATACATCACACTTAAACTATTGCAACATTTAAAAATAAACTTAAATATTACACTAGCACCTCTATTAAGAAGTAAAGAGGCTCAATCTCCCTGAAAGCTTAAATTGTAAGCCTACTATCTTTTGCTGTTTCCTCATTGCAAATCCTGTTATGATCTGCATGATTTCTGTAGCTGTTCAGTTCTTAAAGCTGAATGAGAGAAGATGATGTCAGGAACTAAACTGCTTTATCTGTTTTACCACTAATACATTATTAGGTAAAGTTTTTAATTTTTGCTAATTGCAATTGAGGAACCATGATAAACTTCTCCAAATCTGAAAAATGAAGCTGAAAACAACTATTTGCAAGTCTTTTGCAACTAATACAAAGTAAAGCTAAAATAAATACTTTAGGATGACAAGTTGTGTGTCTTTTTGTGATGTACAAAATAAAAGCATACATCTCTCTCCTCTAAATCTAATCTTGATGCAATAACACTCAGTCTAGATATAAACAATCGCATAAGACAATACTGATACCACAGTATTGTTATTAGTTTCTACCAACTTCAAACATTTCCTTATACATTTCATCCTTTGAAGGAAACAATGTCATTATTACTTGCAATTTCATTGTGTACATGACATTTAAAATTCCTTCTGTATTGTCAGCCAAGGCAACATGGAGCATTTGACCGACTTAATGTGGAATGTTTATTTGAATTTGACAGCAGAGAAAAGATATATATATATTTTTTCGTCTAGGTCATGAAACAGAGTTAAATGTCAGAATTTTGTGTTACTGCGTAACTACATGAGTATGACACATAACTGGCATGCACATTCAATATGGTAATTTTTGTACTTTATGGGTGGCATGTTGGGTGGACCTGCTACCCTACAGGTCTTGAGTCCGGACTCTACTATACTTTCTCTAGGTGTTCTGCTTTCCGTAACTCGCTGCCTCCTCCTACTCTATATACTTGCTGGGTTAATCCGTGCCTCTAAACTGTTCTTATGTGATTGCTTGTGTATATAGCTTACAGTAGTTTGGTAGTCCTATCTAGGATGTACTCCCATCTTGTCCCAGATAATTCCAGAATAAGCTCTTGGTTGCTGTGATCCCTATCAGGAATAACAGGCTGTCTGATAATGGATGCATGAAAAATGTCTTTATTGGTTGCCATTCTGTCTGAAAAAAATCCAAGACCATTCAACTGATGAGCTCATTATCGTAATATCGAAATGAATATCGGGTTCATTATATTTTGCATGTTTAGCTGAAGATGTCTCATATTTCTCAGTACGTTTGAATCTTGTCTTCCAAAAAATCTTAGCTATTCAAATATATAAGAAATATTGTATTTACTTACAGATGATCTGTTCTCCAAATTTGTATTTTTATATTAAATGGTCAACTTTTTAGTGTAATTAATTGTCTCCAGTGGGATGATTCCAACATTTATATACCTGTGTTTGATTTAATAAGACACAGCTTCAAAAAAATACTGGCTATTAATCAGTTTTTAATAAACACATATTAGTCTTTATAAACAGAAATATAGTGTACAAAAGAAAAAATAAAGACTGAAGACACTTAATAAACAATGAAAAATAAAAGTAAAAGGTTTATTCCCATCTAACATTGTTTTAAAAATGTCATTTCCAATACACACGGTTTCCAAAACACAATATACACTAAATATTATATTTGGCCAGCAGCCATATCACCCTGCAACTCACAATTGGTAACCCACTGAAGCTAAGCAGGTGAGATCCTGGTCAGTACCTGGATCAAGACCTCCTGGGAAAAACTAAGGTTGCTGCTGGAAGTGAAGTTAGTGGGGCCAGTAGGGGGCTCTCACCCTGTGGTCTGTGTGGGTCCTGTGTAGTGCTGGGGACACTATACCGTAAAAAGGTTATGTCCTACAGATGAGACGTAAAACCGAGGTCATGACTCTATGTGGTCTTTAAAAATCCAGGGCATTTATCAAGAAGAGTAGGGGTGTTACCCCAGCATCCAGGCCAAATTTCTCATTAGCCTTTACCAGTTATGACCTCCTAGGCTTCATCAATCTGATCTCCTCCCCACTGATAGCTGGTGTTTGATCAAACTGGCACACTATGGCTGCAATCACATCAGCCAGGTAATTGCTGCACATGGGGAGTCCCCATTAACTATAAAGCACTTTGAGTGGAGTGTCCAGAAAAGTGTTATATAGGTGTAAGCAATTATTAAATTATTATTTTGCCATTCAAGGGTTGAACACAAATTTTAAACAACTGTAGTTTCACCTATTTAATAAATTATACATGCAATTTATTTTTTTTCTTTTGAGCATAATAATAATATAATGAGGAGAAGAAAAAAGAATAGATTATATTTATAAATAGAAACAAAAAGAAAATCTTACCATTTTGTTTTTTTTTCTCAGTTACTGCTGTCTTCTATGTCTGATACATGGCTGTCTATCTGAATAACAAACACATTAATATTTTTATATGTATTTATTAATTAAAATATATGAAACAATACATATCTTCAAAAATGTTACGTACAAAAAACTATTTACTATATTATGGGACCCTGCTCCCTTTATTATATTTACAATACTCAATCACTCATTTACATTAATTGAGTAGCATCTTTTAATACAACATAAAGGAGAATACCGATAATCATTACAAAAGTTGCCTATTTCAGACTGTTTGTGCTCAACTAGATTTTCTTTTTTAAATTGAACACATATAAGAAACTTTCCCTCATCCTCAATATACACATTACCATTTTGAATCTAAAGGTCCCATTCACTTAAGGATTTTAATAGTAGAGATATTAACCAGGATAACACCATCCAAAGACATGCATCCTATAAACTGAAACTGAATTAATGTGTTATTCATTAAGTGAAACACTCCATTATCATTATGTGTGCTACAAAATTCGTTAGCAGAGCAAAACAGATCTAATTTTAAGGTAAGCAGTAGATACTAGCAAAGCTCTTCTAATAAGTGCATATTGGACATACAGTATAAAGTGCATCATAATATAGACCACTGGCTACAAAGAACAAAACAAAAGTTGAGGAAGTTTGAGGGAAGAGTATGGCAGACAGCATTCAGAAGCAAATGCTATTTGTAAAATAAAAACAACAGCAAAAGAAAATTTGGCCAGCAAAATTTGACTACAAATGACTACAATTTTAATAAAAAATCTGAAATGTAATGTGAAATATTTTGTTCATAGAATATATGTGCTGAAAAGTAAGAAGAAATCATTCAAATATTTGTGTCCTCAAAAAGGCATTAGCAAAATAACAGTGAATTTAGTTTGCCTCAAAAATCCTGTTTTACTGCATTATAAATCTGGAGTGACTTTACAGGTTAAAAACAGGCAGGGAAACGCAAAATGAAAGATTTACAACATATATCCACAACTCTGTGCTCATTATTAGTATTTTTTTATCTGACAAATAGACATTTTTCTCATGCTCTCAAATTTCTGGGTATTACTGTCCATCACTTTTTCCTCTTTGATAATGATACCCTTTCCTGTTAGCATGAAATGAGCCGACAATGAGCAAAAAACATTTGTACTGACAGACAGTATCATCTAAGAAGGATCTATCAGCTCATAACACCTGCTTCCCATCACCACCTTATGGTTAGCACGGTTTACTGAATACTGTGTGCATATAATTTCTACCATTAGTGCTGTCTTTGCACTTAATTTGCGTACATTACCATATTTTTGCAGATGCTAGTGATCTAGCATCATCTTAATTTAAGGTGTGTTAATGAGTATATTATGCTTTAAAATGCATTTTATTATGTTTGATGAATATGGAATTTAACAGCATGCACATTATCCTTCATTGAGATGTGTCTTATTACATACAGTAGGAACTGTTGGTAAATGAGGACTTAAGAGCACACATCATCAAGGAATATTCATAAATTGTTAAGAAGTAAAACACCCCAACATTATTAACCGAAAAGACCTTTATATCTGTTGGCTTTCACATCCAAACTTTTAGAATATCAGGGAAATTCACCCATCTACTTATAAATGTTATAACCATCTGCTTTTCCCAAGCTCTTAAAAGTTAGTCACCTGTTGAGCATTTTCTAAAGGCTCTTTTTTAATCCCCTTGTTTTGCAGTTATATTTTTTTATAACACATGGAAAAATGGTGCATTGCCTAGCAAGGCAGCAGGGTATCTTCTCAAAGACAAGAGAGAAGACATCAAAACTGCACATATTGAATCATTAGTACACCTTAAATAATGTAGATTAGTTTAGTGGATAATGAGCAAAGAGTGAAAACATATGTAACACAGTAACATGTGAGATAGTAAAGAGAAACTGGGCACCACAAAGTAAGAAAGCTATATGCCTAGTGATCAGTGAAGAGGGGAGAGAGTCAATGAAGTGAGTAAGAGGACTAGGGACCATGGAGGGAGTCAGAATGAGTACTCCATTGCCTTGCTGAGACACACACCTAAATATAGTGTGAGAAGACTAAAGAGACCCAGATAGTGTGGTGAAACAGAAGCAATGTTTGTGAGATGAGAACAGGAACCGGGAAGACCTGAAAGTAGACGGAGCCTGCTCAGTCTTTCCTGGAATGGAAACAACATAAGACACCAAGGATCCTAAAGAGGATCCAAACACAATAGTTAAACCAGGGGCAGCCAGCTAAAATGCCACAAGATAAAGTGACATAATGAGACATTCTTCCATTAACCCTGGTCAAAAAATGCCAACCCTGACAAAGCAGTTTGATGGATCTGAATCACAACTGGATGGTGAGCTGATCCAGAACTCTCCTTAAAATGTATCTTCTTGTACTTGCTCAACTCTGTTATTCCTTCCTTTTTGGAATATCATTGTTTTTCCTGATTGCAGTTTTTGTCCCAGTGCAACAATTTCACACATTTTCTAACCCACTTTTAAAATTAAGCTTTATTCCAATGAAACACATACAACATTTTCTGGTATAATCAACTAAATAAACACATTGGAACATAAACTATTTTACCAGATCATTGCTGCCTTCCTCATCATAGTCATCCTCAGCACCGTCAGTCATCTCCCCTGCTTCTGTTTCCAGTGCTACTTCCCCAGCCTCCTCAGTCGAGTTGTCTGCATTCTCAGATATGGATCCCTCATGAAGAGACTCGCAGTTATCTTCATATTTCCTCTGAGCTTCTGCAAAGATGCAGTGAAATATATAAAAGCAGGATTATGCAAATCAGTCAGGACATAGCCACTAAAAGTCAGCACAAACTGAACACAAGGATTTAATCAAATGTAAGTTAAGCTAGCCTTTCAAAGAAGCACTGGTTGGGCCTTAAAATAAAGGCTTTTCAATGTTTATATGGACAAGTGGTTGCATCAGATCTCATCATATCCATGCTAATCTAATGGAAATGAAGCAAGGAATTCTGTGGAAACCATTATTTTAGCAAGAAATCCTGCACTAGCGTTTTCTTAAGGCTTCCGTTCTGTTTTTTTCTATTGATTAAAGGTGTAGTTTAGGTAGATGAAGTAATGTATTATATGCAACAAAGAATGGTGTCAGAAAGGTTTATTATTTATGACCATTTAAGTGACAAAATTACTACAGGTACTGTTTGTTAATGCATTTGAAAGGTATTTTTTAAAGGTATAGAAGCTTTAAAGATTCATATTTTTAGAAGAAACAGTATATTATTATAATACTTATCTACTTCTGCATGAGTTAAATTTTGTTTTTTAGTTATTAGCTTTAGAATCACTATTGAATAAACAACTTTGATAACTTTAATAACTATTTCTGCAATCACATTAATCTATTATAAGATTTAGACACTTCTTAAAAATCTCAAATGTGTCAAAGTGACAACTAAGTGCAATTTAACTTATCTGCTTGTGGGCTAATTCTAAGGATGAGTTCTACGCACCAGTCTCTGATCTCTGCTGCTTCTCGATCTTCTCCAGTCTGCTCAACAAAGAGTCAATCTTCATTTTAATCTGCAGCAGTTCCCTTTTGATTGTCTGCAACTGATCAGTTTTCACTGCAAACACAAGTTTATTTACATTAAAGCAACATGCACACTTGGTGGTTATCTGGAGTAAGAGTAAAACACCCATTAATTCAATTTCATGCATATTTTCCTTCATTTTAGATAATGTTAGCTCATATCTGTTTCAGACTCATTTCTTTTAGAATGTATGCATACATACTAATGCATGGAGCTGTTGGATCCAGCTGAGAGCTTGCATGGAATTTCAAATTCCCTTTAAAAAACAAAACCATTCCAAGAATCCTGCTGTTTTATATTTCTTTAGGATGAATAAGCAACATGTTTTGCATTCATTACTGCAAAAAGCACTGTCTCTTGACTTCACATTTTCATATGTGCCAGTATCTACAGGATTTTTTTTTTCAAAATTGAACTCCTTTGCAAGGTTTGCTTCATATTATTCAACAACAAATTATTCCACATCACAAAAATCTAAAAACCCATCATCTAACAAAGCAGCAGCAAAAGGAATTATAAAAAGACTCTAGAACTGGAAGTTTGAAACTTTCAATGTTGACTAGTGTATGGAAATACATGGGGAAAAACAGAACTGATGATAGAGTGAATTAACATAAGAACATTGAGATTACAAACAAACATAGGGTATCTAATCTATGCTAATCTATTTGATAGGCAGTAGCTATTTGATTTGAGGATCTCATCCAGCTATTTTTTGACAAAATCCAGGGTTTCAACTTCAACGATATGGCAAGATAGCTTGTTCCATACTCCCACAACCAGTTATGTAAAGAAACGGCTTTAAAAGTCCATCTTTACAATTGCATTGTTGTTTACTGAAGAAGTTCAATTGATTGCCTCTGTAACTGCCTTTGAGGATTCTGAATAATTGAATTGATCAATTCAAGCATTCATAATTCTCCCCCCCCCAAAAAAATGTCAAAGCATGAAATCAGCCTAAGTTAGTTAGAGTTAGAAGAGACGTAATTTCCCTTAGTTTTCACTTTGAAGAAATCCAATGCGTCCCTGATGCTTTGAATACTTGAATTACAACCTGATACACTGGGAGCACAAAATCTTGCACCACGGAGGACAGGGTGAAGCCACCTCTCAGCAGAAAAATTCTAGTGGAAGTGTGAGAGATTGGGATCTAACCTTCCTAACGAATTTCTATTATGATTTTTGTTATAACTCCTTTAGTCATAATTGGTACGTAAAATGTGGTTAGTGAAAAGCACTTACGGTGAAAAAAACAACAATTACAAAAAAAAAACATTACATTTCCCTAAAATCTTTTGTACTAAAACACTTTGAACAATGTAACCAAAACAATACAGATGTATATTATGTAAGCCCCTTTTTAAAAAGACACACCTTGCAGACTGCCTGTCTGAAGAAACTGAAAGCATGATTCTCCTTAGATGACTAATCTGCTCATGTAGTTACTGGAGGAGTTGGAATTGCTTGTTAAAGCTGAAGGCAAGGCTAACCTCATGGAATTCTATAATAGGCACAGACTTAATCATGTCCTACATCTCACTTTTTCTGAAGCTACTGCCTTTGAAATCAACCTTTTTAGAAAATAATGAAATATTCTGTTAGACATCAAGCTGAATTTCTTAAATGTACATCTAAGCAGAATTGTAACTTTAATGGTAATCAACCTAGTAGTTTACTATCTTTGAGACTCTGCACCAATGAACACATTGAGGATATTCCTGTCATTAGATCAATACTGGTCACAGTCTAATCCAGTGCAGATAACACTCTACATTTCACATTTTATCCTAAATCATATAGTTCACAGTTGATATCTCTAGTTTACCTAGCATTTTTCTTGAAAAACTGACTATACTCTACGTACCTACAGTATATATATACTGTATATTGTCTGAACTAAAGAAGGCAAAAATAAATAAATAAATAAAAATAAATATAGTGGTATTTATCCTGAACTTCGCTTGACTGTTTTAACCACAATGAGTTTTCCTATTGCTTGAAATACTACCACTGAGAATCAATCCTGCTATTATATCCCTAATTCTCCCATCTTTACAATTTGCTCCTTTGCCCCTCTAAAGGCTAAGATTTATTGGCTGGAGGCCAAATATGACCAAATTATTAAACCACAATCAGACAGGCTTTATTAAAGGGCATTCTACATTTGCCTCTCTCTACTTTCTACACACATTTATTAGAATTACCTCCCACTAAGCACTTTGTTCATGGCTGAGGAGGCTCTTAAACAGCTTGATCAGTTTTTCATCCCATGGGTTGGAGATCAGGTTATATTAATACTGTTGAAATATGAGATCAACTTTCAGAAAACAGGTAGACAGTGCTCTTCCCAGTTCCCGTTTCTAGTAGCACTTTTCATGTGTGCCCACTTTCGACTTTGTTGTTTGCCTCGTCTTTGAAACCATTCACTCAAGCTATCTGCCAATCCACATTTTCAACCCTGATTTCTCTTAACAATACTAGGAATTACATATTGCTCTGTGCTAAATGACTTAAGTATGTAGACAAGGCTAATTAATTCATTCGTCCAGTGCTGTGGGAAAAAGTGGACTTCCAATTATGTCAACGGGAAAACACTTCAGCTACCTCTTAACTGAGATTTACAGTACTTTTCTTTAAATGCCAATAAGAGGGAATTTATTTTCTAAAAAAACAGACACTGATGTGAACAGATTCCACATACCTTCATGCTTGCATCTCCATAATAAAAATAAATGTGTTTCCTTGCTTGAACTTCTTTATTTTTAAAATCTTTCTTCACCTATAGGATACCAGGATAGATTGCATCCTAGATAATATATAAATATGTATGTTTATATAGGCAGGGAAACAGCCGCATATTAGACTTTCCACCCTCTAGTGTGAAAGCTCTGCTGGTGATCTAGCGCTACTAAACTTTACATTTGATTTCTAACCCTTTGTTTTACATTCACTATTTACTGGCATACTAAACATTGTAAATGTCCTATTTTTTATCCTTCATTCTTTCTTATTTTTCCACACACAGGAACATTGTTACTTTGAAATACAGTAGCAAGGCACAGCTTTACAATGAGAATAGCCTTCCATATTAATGTGTAAATATGCCCATGTATTATTCCATACAAATATTGTACAAAAACGCATTTATTTTGTACCCTGATAAAAGACCTGCTTGGATATACACCAGATCTGAATCCAGGTGGTTTAATCATTAGGGATACAGAAACATTTTTGTTTTATTCCAGGAGAAATCTAGCATTATTAAAGATTTAGACAATGACTGAACAAGAGGTTGGCTGCACACTTGTTGATGGTGACTGAAAGGAGTACATATTGTATGTTTCAAATCAAGTTATTAATTTACTAAATTCAAAGATAATTTACATATTTATTTCCTGTCTTACATAAACTAAGAAAATTGTATATACTCGGGCAAAGAGTGAATTATTAACACATCTTGTGTGATACAAGCCTGTAATGTTAAGAATATCTAAAAAGGATAAAAAATGAATTATAACAAGCTCTCCCAAAAATAGACTCTAGACCAAATCTTTTTGCTATGTTCCTTATTTTAGGAATACATTGTTACTAATGTAACCTTAAAATTCAAAAATGTTTTTCCCAGTATAAAAGAGCAATTTGCCATTTATATTTCCATCTGAATTGCATGTCTAATTGAAGAGCATTAACTCAGTGTTAACTGTAAGTCCCTTGTGGAACTTCCTGCTTTCTCTGTATTGTTTTACAGATAGGAGGCTCACACACATGCATCTGCTCAACCTCATCTCATTTCATGGAGTCAATAGAAGTCCACAACATGGACTTCAGTTATGTGAAAGGATCAGAATCAATCTCCTTGCTTAGACCAAAACAAGAAAAATAATTCCACAGGGACGTCAAACATAAAAAAGCCTTGCCTCACTGCTCTTTCAGGCTTTATTATTTATCATTTTCGCTGCAGCATTTGGCTCATAACAAAGAATGTCTTATCTCAAAGCTTAACTGTGTTTGACGATAAAAGGCAAACAACATTTTAAAAGTATTTGACTACAACATATTGTTTTTATTTCTTTCTTTTGAAAAGAGAAAAAAATAGAAAAAAATAGCTAAACTGTAGATTGTTCTTTTTATTTACCGTATTATTTTTAAAGTTTTAAAGAAAAAATGTTGATCAAATAATTATTCACAAAATTGACTTAAAACCCTTATATTTTCCATCAAGTCTTTGATTACATCTTTTTACCCTTTATTTGTCTTCGTAAAATGAAAACAAAATGGATGCATTAATCTCTGTGAAACATTGCTTGTGGCATTCCATTTTTTTGTTGTCCAGTAACTGCACTATTCATGTGTGAGAGCTATGGTTTGCGTTTTATAAGCTGTTGCATGTAAGCAAAAAGTCCACAGTCAGAGTAAAATATGGACGCTTGTCTGTCACAAGCCACTGAGAAGATTGTGCCTATATGAACCTTAGAAATTTCATCTGAGTCTGAAGAACAGGTATAAACAACTGTGATCAGAGTGAAAAGGGGGTTTGTGGTCAATATTATTAAGTTATAATAATGTTACATGAAATTATCACTGAAAACAATAAGGTAACTCAAATGTCATCATTGGTACCACACCATCATGTTCCAAATTCAAAACAATGCTTCCCCCCTAACTCAGAACTTAATGCCATGTTTCTAAAAACATTACTGTTAGGGATACAAGTGTTCAACAGCAATAAGGAAAACCCATCACCACTGTGCTTGTAAAGTGCAGTGAGAGAGCACCTGCAGGATTTCACATTTTTTTCCTACAATAGTGAGACATGGGATACAAAGCAACACAACTCTGTATTCATCCCTGTTGTAGGCTGAACTGTGTCTAAACAGTGGAAAAAAAACAAATGATGCTGATGTGAAAGTAACATACAGGACGTCTTACACGATAAACAGTTATACTCTTACAAGTTACTGTGAATGTTTTTGTCATCAACCACCTTATTAATGAACTGAGTCATCTTTATGGGAAATACTAGCAGAAACTTTCTGATACTGACTATTGCATTTCCAGACATATTTATGTTCCTGCCAATGAAATCTCCAGTTAACACTAGCTTTCAGTAGTTAGCTGCACTAAGTCTAAATTATATGTTTTGTCAGATGCACTTCAGAGCTACATATTGTGTGGGCTTTCCTTATTGTCTCCAACACATGCAACAGGAAGGAATTACTCCCCTTTGAATTTGGGGGCTATACTTAAAAACAAAACATAACACTTTCACAGAAGCTGCATTAGAGACTGCAGCAAAAGTCTCATTGCAGGACTAAAATGAAATATAAAAAAAACAACTTCTTGAGATTTACCTTATAAAAATAATTTTGGAGATTACAATAAAGTAGTTGTGTTTTTATTGTTTCCTTAAGAATAAGTAGTATTTATTTAGCATATTTATAAAATGAACATACCTATAGTACCAAGATAAGTCCTAGAAGTAAGATAAGGTTTAGGATTAAGACAAAAGAGCAAGGATATAGGTGTCTGAGTTACGGTCAGAGTCAGTAGTGTTAATGTTAATGTTAGTGTGTAGCAGTGTGGCCAAGTTAAAAAAAATGTTTTGTTATGTGAATGACATTAGTAAATATTTTACTACAGCAAGCTTATCGTAGACCCACAGACATTTGTATCCTTAGTTTAAAATATGTGCTCATTTATATGAGGAATACACTATACTTATTTAGTAATTCAATATTTTCAAACTTCAGTGAACATAGATTTATTTATAGCTACCTATGAAAGTGATGACGTACATTAAAGATAACTCCTCAGTGTTTGCTGCACAAAACACACAATTTTTGTCTAAAGAAAACTGCTGAAACGGAAACTAACTTGGCATTTCTAATGCAAGCTCAGCAACTCATTTTTTCCCAGGCCACTACAATGAAAACTAAACTATACTAGAAAACAATTAATTTCATTGTTTGGACATTTCAGAATAGATTTTGTTTTAATATCAGTTGGCCCAGTCACTTACCAGCTTTGAGACTCCACAATAATGAATGGTTTTCAGATATTACTACCATTAGATTGGTGGAAGCAAAATTACTGGTAAATCTTATACAGATAAAATATACAAAAATACAGTTTTTAGTTATAGAGTACAGACATTTAAATGATGGGGGAGGCTAAGGGAGGTTGATTCAGGTGGAGTAGTTTTTATTATTTTTTGCATTGTATGTGTGTTTGAGAGAGAAAAATAATGTTCACAAAAACATTGAGATTTTGTGCTTTTCTACAGGTACAATATAAAGCATTGGCGTCATAATCACCATTTTACAGCTTGAATATCTTCTGGTGCCAATTTGTCTTTTTTCATGTAATCCCTGTACCTGTACTCTCATATTTGAAACTGCTGTATAATTTTTATTTCGGTTTCTTCAGATCTGGCATTTAAAATGAAATGAGATGAGCAGAGTAATTTTTATATGTCTTACACTTGAGTCCCGAGGACAAGGTGCTGCTGGTAGTGACTCTGGATGATCCTTTGGCTGGGAAGCTGGTCTTTCCCCGGCGAGTGGATGAAATAGCAACACGGGAACGCTTCAGTGGGATCACAGCCCGAGGTGGTTGGGCCAGCCGACCATGGTAATCAAAAAGCCTAGAGAGAAAGGAATAAATCTTGTTCTGTAAGTTTAAGAGAAAATGCCATTCAAATATCTAAAAATGCTATCTAAAAAGCATTTTGCATGAAAATGACTTAAAAACGAACTCCTTCGATTTAAGTTTTAGAACCATATAGTCACAGTAATAGTAGAACTCATTATGGAAAGCATCCTATCCTGAAAACAACTACCAGTAATTTAAAATAAGTACAAATATCAAACACTTTAGTGTATTTGAAGGAAGGGGTAAACAAATAAGCCATGTGCAATAGATGTTCAGTAACGGAGAAAACAAACAGAATCACACTACTATATTAACAGCATACAGCTTCAGCATATCAATGCTATTAAAACCCCTTTTGTCTTATTTTGTGTTTGGTGGATAACTCCCCAAAGCTCATGGGAAACGTTCTACCGCAATCATAGTCAGGTGAAGAACAGTAGCAGTGACTGGTTTGGTAACCTGGTAGTGATTAAGCGTGTAGCAGGTGGGAAAGTGAGCGACTGTGAGGAAGAAGTAGTATAAAGCAACACAAGCAACAAAACTAACAACCTGGAAGTTCTCAAGCCTTTTATGAAACCAGTCCTACATCTCAAGTTAAGTAAAAAATGACTCCGGTTTCTTGAAACACAAGTCAAAATCTTGATTGTGAACACACTTGGGTTTTGAATTTAGTAAAATTAATTGGTGTACATGATAAAAGAATAGACAACTGTGACAACAAGACAACAAGAAATTGTTCTGTGTTTGGAAATTTAAGACTTAAGGGAGACGTACAGTAATATAATTCTAACTCTAGAAACCCAAAATATTGCTTATATTTTTGTATCAATATAAAAATACTCTAATAATGTGCTGTTAACTGACAATCACTAGAGAAAATCATAGCTCTGTATCATTACTGTGAACATTATTAACATTATTTATTTTCCTGTCAAATGCATTAAGAACTCCTTTTCTTGTAGTCATCAAGCAAAAATGAAAAATAACTCAATAGATTAAGCATTCAGTTCTAAATTTTTATTTCTATTAAAGCAAACTCAAGCCATGCATGTTTCAGGACTTATCACTGTTAGCTGGTATAGAATAGATATAAACACAGCAATGAATGCCAAACACTGGTCAGTCTGAAAGACCAGGGGGTTAGGGTGCTGGTACATGCAATCTTTTAATAGTCAGGTCTTAAAAATACTGACAAATGCAGCTGCAAGGTACATAAACGGTGCTTTTTTATTTATAGTGTAAGGAAAATAATCAAAATCCCAAAACACAAAACAAAAGCTTAAGCTCATCTTAGGCTCCTCTACCAATTAGAGCTATTCTGTTCCCTCTCTAATAATAACCTGGCAGCTAAGCTGCTTACTGGCTTTCCAAAAATTTATCTGAGACTCTTCCTCAACCGTCTTCTAAAAACACAGTTCCCAGCCCCAAGAGTTACATCCATAGGATCACTTCCTTTTCTTTCTGGCGAGATCGAACAACAGATGGTCTCCCTCAACTATAGTGTCTACATATAGACAGCAGATTAAACCAACCTCTGGACACCTCTGCTTCACAACCTTTAAAACTTGACTTGACCAATTGTCTTCTTCCAACCGGTCAGGTGACCTAGGGTCAGAAGCTCATTCCCCCCAGCCATCTGGAGAATGTGGTTCAGACAAGGTTATCAAGTTCTGGTTCCGTCTTGTCTGAACCCAAAACCCTCTTACACCACATACAACAGAACATAGAACAGCAAGCAGTAAAAATAATTAGCAGATAAGAACATATTACAACCAACCTTAACTGAAGAAAGAATTAATCACCCTACAAGAACATAACATTGAGCTCCATTCAACAATTTTGGTATAGATTACATGTACTGTACAGTATTGTTTAGCACAAATCTGACTTCCAGATAACCTTTCTTCTCACCATTTCCAAGATGGAATGTAAGTAAACACACATGAGCTTCCCACCCCCTGCAAAACAGGCGCATTAAACAGCTAAATAAAATATTCACCCTTTCTTTACACAAGAACAGAAAAAAATAAAAGCAAGGAGAGAACATATAGAGCAGTATAGAGTGGGTAGTATCTCTGGATTATTTTTATTGTATCTCTAGTTTTCATTTCAACAGAAATTCTATCACAGCAGCTAACTGATACCAGAAATTCATCTATGTTCCCGATTAGACTTCTGTTTCAGCACTCAGTCCTTGGTTCCAAAAAAATGTATTGTTTGAACAACCACAATTTACAACATTTAATCTCTCCTCAACTCATTTGCTCATTTATTTCTGTGAAGGCATACAGATGGGAATAATGTTTTTTTTCGCTTTCTGAAGAGTGTCAGTTGGTTACTATTCAGCTATTACAACTGTATAAGAGAATGTACTGAAACTCAGAATCTTTGCACAGTGTTGTTTTCTTACAAAGGCCATTTGTCTTCAAAGAAGCAGAAAGCAAATTGAAAATTTTCAATAGAAAATTTAAATCAATTAGCCTGGGATTGAGAACTCAGCTAGAACAAACACCAGAACACCTAGAGCTCCCTAAGGATCAGGGCTGGAAAACATTGATTCAGACCTCCCTTTCTTGTTTCTGAAAAGGTGCAAGTTCAAAAATTCATCCATCTATTTACCAGCCACCTTATCCAATTCAGGGTAGTGTGGGAGCCAGAGCCGCCTATCCCAGCAAGCAACAGGCACAAGGCACGATACACCCTTGATGGCGCCAGTCCATTGCAGGGCACACCCAGACACAAACACACAGTGGGACAGCTCAGTTCCAGATAACAGGATAGGAATGCAGGAGGGCAATGATTGATTTCTAATATTCACTCTCAGAAACAGCTGTAAAAGCCAACTGATTTAAAAATAGACATCTGAGTTGATAATATATTATGCTATAACCAACTGGAATGCAGTTTAGAACAAATATCTGAATATACTGATTTGAATATATGCTATGTCACTTGTTTCTTGTGACCAAGAACTCCCAGGTCAGCTGGAGTTCTCCAAATAATTGTATTGAAATGCCAACAGTGCTGAGTGAGTTCACAGTTGGCCAGGATTTCACCGAAGCAGCAAGCCCTGTGACTTACATACTGTACTTCCCAGTGACATTTAATTTATTTATAGTACACTGTTTACATCCTTTGTCAAAACACATTTTCTCATTCGTATCCTCCTTAATACTCAGTGCATTTCTTAAATTAAAGGTAATGAATGGAATTTACATACCTGAAGCCAAAGTATTATATTATCCCACTATGGCAGTTTGTCAATATTTTGTTTGTTTCTTGGAATGAAAACATAAATCAGCAAATGTCTTTAAACAGATGGTTTCTTAAGGGTGGTGAACAACAGCTTTAAATAGAGTAAATGTTTTATGTATGTAAATCAGAAAGCTATGAAAAAAAAAACAGACAGAAGTGTTTAAAAAATATGTGTGCATCTTTTGTTATTTCACAAACTGGTACACCATAGGAAAGGTCTGAATACGTTTTCAAGGCACTGTATATAAAAATACTGAAAATGTCAGACAATGACTTCTGCCCTACTTCTGTCCTATCTATAGACTATATACTTCATAGACTATAAAGTATGACAAAGCAATCTGGCATTTAGAAAATGTCATAGCAGATGCAAGAGTTGATGAACAATTAGTCTTTGGAGTAAAAAGAAAGACCACACATTGTTAAATTTAAAATACTTTCTCTTTAGTGAATTCAACACACTAAATGTCACTGCTAATGATGTGCAGCTTTACTTTCATGCATGTTCAGCAATGCATTGAAATTGATTAACCTTATAGGCTAATATAATGCTTCCATCATTCTTCTCTCCATAGAATCTCATCTGTTTACTAAAAAAGAGATATCTGATTCAAGAGACATAAAATGTTTTACTAGGTAAGAGAAAACCAATTTACTATATAATCTGTATCTATTCCATATCACTTACAAGCACTTACAGCAATGCCTTTTTTTTTTGCTTCGGGACAGAATGCTCAATTAACTGGATACTCTCTTATTTCACACATCTTAAGTTAATAGATTGAATATGTTATTTTCTTTTCTTGCTGTTTTTGTCAACAGTTTGGTTCTATTATTATTTTTAAGTTGATACCTTTTAATATCAGTAGGAAATAAATAGATAAGTAATTTTATATGTGAGACTAAGAAGGCAGCTATAGTAATATGACAGATTTCCCACTTCCTAGTCTAAAATCACATCCATTTTAATTTCAGGTAGTCACCATCTTGTGCTGCAGCATTATCATTTTTAGTCAGATCTCAGAAGCTAGGCAAGCTTGGGCATGGTCAGTACTAGAATGGAAGACATCTGAGCAAATCAGTCTAGTGGTGCTGGTGGCACTGTTTCTAGACCAAAATTCCCAAACCAGCTCCACAGAATGGTAATCAGTCACACTGTGCTGTGCTATAGGAAGAGCTCTTCTTTGGAGGAGACATTACATCGAGGTCCTGACATGAGTCAGGTTCCCATGGCAGTCTTCAAAAAAGAAAAAGTGTTAAGCTGTGTTCCAACTAAAGACCAGTCTGAGCTTGACATTCCGGTCCTCCTAAAGTCCCTCTTAAATTAACTGTTCTTACATCTCTGCCTGATCTGTTGCGTAGTGGGGAGGAAAGTGCATAATGGCTGCCGGAAGTCACTTCGGTGGTAGTTGCACTTTACAGGTGCATAAAGTGGATCCCCCTTCTACCTGGACATATAAAGCACTTTTTATTGCTATATAGACATAAGAAATTATAATCTTTCAGAAGTAGCATTCTTTTACATCACTGGCCAAAGAAGTACCACAAACTACAGTCATAAATATATACAGTATAGATATATGCCCACTGCAAACATTTCCTTTGTACTTTTCCTATTTCCTGTGCCTTCACACTAGTAAGGTGAAATCCAATGAGATGGTCAATATTTAAATATACGCAGTCCCAACTTAAATATAAAGAAGGTCTCTATCTTGGAAAGTCCGAATTCTAAATTCAACCAACTTCACAAATTAATTGACTTGTGGATTCTTAACTGTCCTTCCAAAAGAAAAATGGGTATGTTCAGATATAATGCTAATGAACTGGTAGTCTGAAAGGTCACGCTACAGCCTAACTGGGAGAGAGAACAGACATACTATTGAAGTAATATGAGAAAACTATCTACAAAATATTACAGACATACTTAAATATTTAAAGATACCATAAAATGATTCAGTGATATCTCTAAATAGTACAAGGCAATAATAAATTCAATTTTTCACAAAATTTAGACGTCAAAGACATGAACTTGCAATTCATGATGTACAATACAGTTGTAGTAGCTTTTTGTATTACTCTATGTCCTTAAACACGAAAAATAAATTCAGTTAAAAAATAAATACATATGAACATGATAGACATACCGATTGTAGAAATCATCCCGGTAGTAGTCATAATCAAATTCATAACCACTGTGAAAAAATAAGAAACATAAAACATTAATGCTATGCACATTTTCCTTTTTGTATCTGGGTATAGAATTAAAGCATTTTCATTATTACTTAGTAGTTGGTATTTAAATAATAATTTCAGATTAATCTATAAATGAGAAGAAAGACTTAAAAAAGCAAGTGTAATCATATTAAAAAAGAGATTAATTCATCAGCACTAACTAGGACAATTAAAGTTCATTTCCAAGCACAGACAATGATGTGATTGTGCATAAACTGGCTCTTCATTAGACATTTAGTTAGGCATTTAAAATCCTTTGAACAAGTAAAAAAAAAAGAATGTGTTACTCCATAATTATTCTAAACAAATTCTCTGTATTGATTTTGGAGTTATACAGCACACAATTTCATTAATGTTTTGTCTGTCTGCTCAGCTGGGATGTTGAGTCATCTTCAGTATAGAGTGTCATTATTGTGTATGGGGAAATATTCCTTATTAACTTCTGCTCAGTGAGTTGTCAGAAGTCTGAAGGAGTCTGGATTTATCATTTCTATCTAGACTCTCTTTTAATGAGTGAGTGTTAAAAGGTTAATTGTTCAAATGTTCTACAGAAAAGACTGGGATAGCAAAAACTGACCATCCGTTCAACACAAAACCTGGAATGAATAATCTTCATTCTCCAATAATTTAGTAAATGTATCTTACTCGTGAACTCCACAGTCCATTTTCATGATCACTTTTGCACACTAATGTTATTGCTGTTTTAAAAAAGAATAACATTACATCAGTAGTCAGTACCTGAATCAATATAAAGCTGGTATCTTGGAAGATACTTAACATAACACTGAAATATTTCATTTGAATGTTTGCATATTAGAGTAGTCAATGTTTTATAAATATAGCTTTATACTGTGTATTTAATATCTCTATAAAATTTTTATAATAATCCAATATACAGTATGACTAATTGTGAAGGACCATCTGTCTGCTTTAACAAAGTCTGACAAAGTCTACCAGCACTGAAGAAAATGAGTAATGCAATAGGCATTTGATAGTTTATTTCTCTAAATTCCAAAGAAATTAGCTGAAACAAAAAAAATCACTAATTACGCATATATAAATTGTTTCCGCTCACTTGTCACATTTTTAATTCATGTTATTTTTACATTTATGACACAGTGATCAGGACTGTAGAAATCTAATCTACAAAACATTTATATTAAAATAACTGAAAATGTCATATTTATACAACCTAATAAATATTTTTTATTAATGAATAAATATTATGAGGATATTATTGTGATGCATAAAGGAATATACAGCTACTGAACTGCTGAATTCAAGACATTTTAATTATACCTTAAATGCAGTTGATTTATTTAAAAAAACTAATTAATTGATACAGTAGTGAAATAACACAAATCATGTCAATGCTAGACAGTTGCATAATACATGTTCTGATTGTACTTCTGGTATTTACATTTAGATATCTATAGTATTTAAATCATTTGACCATCCATCATTAAAATGTCACATATAAGCAACTCACAACCTATTGCTTATCATGGAATTATAGGGCACAAGGAATGAACTATAAACTCTGGTCAGGATGTCAGTCCACCACAGGTCTCATACATATATGCAAATAAATGGGAATAATGATTAACTTAACATGCCTTTAGAAGATTACCGCTTTGCATAAGCAAACCAATATCTAAATTATATAACTACAAAGGTGGAATAAAAATCTCAAGATCCCATTCCCCAGTTCAAGGACTGAACATTAAAGCCCTGCAATTCCATGGCACTGGACAAACTAATTCTGTCAAAGACTAAGACTAATCTGTGAAGAATCACTTGGAAAGAGAGATTGTCGACACAGATCTGAGCTCAGTTTTACACCAAAGTCTCAGCACAGTGCAAGTATTCCAACACAGACAGAAATAATTTGTTTTACTAACCAACACATTTTAATTTGGCCATCAAATCCCTGTGATTTATTAAATAAACAATGTAATCTAATGGTAAAAGTTAATTTTACAGATTAATAACTAACAAAATATACTTATTAAATATACAAAAGTATACAAAACAAAATTCAACAAGAATTCCAGCCCAGTAAAGAATTTCAGTGGGTTTTCTACACTAAGGTTTGCTATTTAGATAGAAGGGGTGTTACCATTCAAGATGCATTTTAGTTTAGTTTGAAAATGTCACTTGCTCTTATTACAAGGTTGTATAACTGGGAATTCTGTTGGGTGTTCAGTTGTTTTGAAGCAAATTAAGACGTACTGAGTTTCTCTGAAGTAATTTATAAAAGAAAAACAAGTGAAAAATGTTATTGAAGGATAAAATGTGCATTTCTAGCCAATAACACATTGCAGCCAAAATCAGAATGGAAATAAGTCAGCTGAATTAAATGCAGTCTGTTCAACTGTTTTTACCAGGAGTGGTACTGAATTTAAATTAACCCTTTCATCCAAAACTTTAAAAAAATCAAATATGAGTTAGGCAGCAATTGAGAAATTGCTCAGTTCCATATACAGTATGACACCACCTTATTGTCATACTTTTTCACGACTTTTAGGTAACTGTGGTGCTAAAATAAATGCTAAAACAAATTATGTTGTCCTGATTAAATCTTTGGTTTTCCAATTTCTATATGAAGAGGACCGCAAAGGAAATTAATCACAAGGTAAAATAATGAGAAATAAACATTATTTCTGTCAACATTTGCGATCAGTGTAGCAATCACAAATTCTGTAAATTCTGGTGCAATATTTCTGTTCAGTACAGGATATATAAAATTAACACTTAATGGGAACCACTGGATATTTTATTTTTACTTCACTTCTTTGTTTTAAGCATTAAAACATCTACTGGGGCATAGCAAAACAAAAACACTTATAATAAATAACCAGCAGTAACAGCACAGTGTCTGAGACTGGAAAGACAATTACCATACATTTGCCAAGGTAGAAGAGGTGTTACTTTCTATCAATAATTTTTATGTCATGTGTCCTTGAAGCTTCATTTAAAAAAAACAAAAGGCAAGGTGCAGATTTGTCTGCTTTGTTCTAGTGCAAAGAGACATTGGTGTCTTTATTCTATTTATATACTGTAGATACTGAAAAGCATCAGAAACACATCATATGAGCATTGAAGCCAACCGTATTTATTAAGTTTTTAATATCTTGCAGTATATTAATCTTGCCTTTAAAGTACAGCCTTATGTTTTAACAAGGAACATTTTGCTACATTTGAATTTGAATAATTAACAAGGAGACGTTTCTAAATGTGAATGAACATGTGGTATTACTCTGACCAGACACATTGGGTCTTTTTGACATTTTTTTTCAGCCACATTACCACCTTGTAGCCTGATCTTCTCAGATCTCACAAACTGACGAAGGCTGGGCATGATCAGTTTTGGGATGCGAGTTCACTAAGTAAAAATTAGGTTGCAGAACAATTGGACAAGACAATAAAACATTTTTGAAGTACTTTATAAATGCTCCTGAAAACATTTCAAAATGCATTCTCTCATTCTCTCAAGCACTGAGGACAATTTTGACACAGCCAGAACATTTGGTGGTTTGAACACGATTCAGCACATGTGAAATCCCCAAATGCCACATCAAATGTCGTTATCAACACACCACTACCACACTACCCTCTTCATCAAAAATGGAGTACAAAACACTTTAAACTTGAATTGTGGCAAAAGTATATTACGTTTAATATCAATATTCTTGAAGTTCTACAACATTCTGATGACATTTGTTTACTGTACTCTGTCATCAATAAGGACTACTTATCATTGTTATAAGTGATAAAGATGATTGTCTTAGGTAAGCTATATTCTACCAAGCCAAATATTACAATGTAAACACAACAATTCTCACATTTGATCTGCCCACATTTAAACAATCAAATTTTGTGCAGAATCACATTTTGAACAAGGACAAAGATCTGTTTAGCTCCGGTGACCTTAGAAGATTCTGATAAGTAAGGCCTGGGTGTTTTACCCTGTATTTCAATCCTCTAGCACTAAGAGATCGCTATAGCCCTTTCTAAGCTACTTATTAAACAATAACGACAGTTCAGTACTTTAATCATGTCAATTAGTCATTTAATAACTGCAGCTTACACACATAATCATGAAGATTAACCGTGATGTTCGTGGCTATTGACACTTAATCATGCATCCATAATTAAGAATAATTCCAGAATAGTTTTTCTGTGTCTGAAGAAAGGAAAAATACTAAATTCAGAAAGAGTGCAGTGATATACAGTACATATAAACTGAGTCAAATGCAAAAAAAAAGAAAGTAAAGGAACAAGTAATAGGTTCATTCCATGCTGAAAAGAGAAAAACGAAAACACAACGCTTTGGCCGTGGAGCCTTCTTCAGGTGCATGTATATGTCATTAAGAGTTAAGTTTAAAAAAGTGCTGCATTTTTCTGTAGGTTTAATAATAGTCAGCTGGTTTACCCATTCTTCTTTCACAAACTAACTTGAACTGCTATGTGAAAACCAGCCTATATGAAAAAAGACCTCTTTTCAGACTCAATGGAATTGGTAAACTGACAAATATTTAGACTTTCATTTTAAGCTGCAAAATATTTTTTATTTCATTCCAAACTTCACTGAAACACATGCTACTGACATTTTCTTTTCCACAGTGTTTTTATTTATCCACTTCAGATTTGTATTCTTTAAAAAAGCCTGAAATCTAACTGCACACTTGTTTTGGGTTGAATATCCTGATTACCTTAAGAAGTCTGTGAGATGACTGAAATGTGTTCTATTTTTTTTAAATCTGATCCAGATTCAAGTATGTAGCTTAACATTCTTCAAAACACCATATTAGATCAGCCAGAATCTTACCATGCATCACAATTAGAAAGAGCCAAGTTTCCAAGCCTTCTATATCGGTCAGGATTCTATTTAATTCTTTAAACAGTATTGTATGTGGTGAAATGTCAAATTCCATTTCCACAAAGATTAATATACTTGGAATGTTATTCTGCACCAGAAGAACAACAATCCAGTCACATTTATAAATTCTATTTCAAATTAGGCATCAACCATACCACAGATGCAGATAAACTACAGCTGCCAGGGTAATTACATACTGTATGTACCGATAAAAAATGTTATCAGGTCTTAAGTTTTGTTTTGTGCAAAAGAGCAACCTGCAGTAAAAAGTTCTTTTTCAGTTAACTTGTTACATCATTTATCACATTTTTTTAAAAAGGTCTCCATCTTGGAATGGTTGACGATTTCTAGGGGTACATTAGAGCAGATTAATACCGATCTCAAAGAAGCAAAATAGGGGTTTTGAGATGTCTTTTGCACAGAACTCCATCTCACCAGTGTTAATCTCAGCCATTTATTTTTTATACATTTCATCCATCAGAGTACAGTGCACAAGGAGGACATTGCGGCTCTCATCCATTCAATGAAATGCATTTTGACGTAGTTAGGTGGGTAGCTGCATCAGCATGCGTAGGCTGCAAAGGAACAAGTAAAGGTTTATTCCATGCTGAAAAGAGATGAAAGGAAACAATGTTTCAGCTGTGGAGCCTTCTTTGGGTGTGAAAAAGTCAGAAGAAGGCTCTCAAAGAAGAAGGAGCACACCCAAAGAAGGCTCCACAGCCAAAACACTGTGTTTCATTTCTTCTCTTTTCAGCATTTTGATATAGTTTGTAATTTTCTTCAATTACATTTCCATCAGCAAGTCTGTCCTGTAAATCTGAATGTTGTTAAATCACTAGGTGTGCATACTTAAGCTGTTCTTTGTGGAGAAACACCAAGTGCTGAATCACACAAATATATTACAGAATATATTACACTCCTAGTGGAATAATTCTGGTAGAATAAATGCACCTTTAGCCTTGTTAGACTTTGTTTCCTGGTATCTACTGAAATAGGAATAAATCAACAAAAATTGTTACAATGTTTGTGGTGTTTTTAATCAAACGGGTTCAATTAATCTCACTTTCACAATATTATATCCTTCTACATGATGTCTGACAAAGGGAAACAGGTGTTGTCGACCGTTTGTTTTGCTCTATTAAACATACTAGGCTAGGCTGGCCAACAGTGCTTTCCAAACCAACTGCAGATTTTTTAGATTTGAAACATTTGAAGCAACATTTATCAGGATTTCCTGACAGAAAAAAATTAAAACACTGCAGGATTTTTTTGTTGTCCATTTGGAATTTGTCTTTTCATTCACATTTACTCTTTTTTGTCACACAATTGCATCCTAAACTTAAAATCTGGTTTTCATCTTTACAGCTTAGCTGCGTTACTAAAAAGAACTCTAAATTTCATGCACATTAATGAAATATTACATTTAATCTATGTATCTAGGGTTTCTTTTTTCTGTAAGAGGTCAACATCCAAATGCAAATCATTCTGAATATAAAGAATATCCTTATAAAACATTCATATTTGATAAGCTATTTAATTTCTGTCTTAATGTTTGTGCAATGGTGTAAAAAGAACAATGGTGTAACCTAAATCTATGCCCCAGGACTCTCCAGGACGTACAAATACTCATCTTCTTAAAGTATATATCAAGAAAAGATTGCTCTCATCGATGAAGAGGTCTTCTCTTCTTTTTAGTTACCGTCTTCGTATTAAAACTGTCAAGCCATTATATAACAGCACCATTTACTTTGGCTTCTGTCTTACTGCCTGCTTACAACATTCACTGTTTCTTAACCAGTGTGAAATCACTCTGTAAACTGCTAACTTTTCAAAAACAAACTTGTGCTTTCTGCACATCACACACAGAGAGATCACACATCAGGTCAAAACAGCGGACTTATTACTACCTTCTTTCCCAGTAGGTTTTGAATTTGTAAGGATGTAAAAAGAAATGTAACAGAATTTTGACAAATCCAAAAAATGCGGGCAGAATTTTTCTTAAAAAATTGACAAACAGAACTATAATATGCGTCACTATGCGTAGGCTGCAAAGGAACAAGTAATAGGTTTATACCATGCTGAAAATAGAAGAAAGAAAACACAATGTTTCGGCTGTAGAGCCTTCTTCGGCTGTACACCTTTCTTTCTTCTCTTTCAGCATGGAATATACCTATTACTTGTTCCTTATTATTGCATATATTACATAACACAGAACATGCATGTAACGTGCAATGGGCAGAAAGACTGAATGTTTTATTTAAGCCACTTTATTTAGGAAAGTTACAGCCCACTATTTCAGGTTTTATATATTCATCAGTAATTTATTGATTTTCAATTTAATTTAAGCTTTTTATAACTCATTGACTAAAAAGGCTGTGGACTAAGAAGACTTTTCTGTATCCTGTTGGGTCTGTTGTTGTAACGTAGAGAAAGACATTTCTTTCAAATGGCTGCAATAAAATGACCAGCTGTATAAATGTGTAAGTTTGGAGAAGAGCATCAGCCAGATAAATCAATATTGACTAAAACTGGTAAATACTCTATGTTTTTATTGCAGATGACATTTTAAATATATGAAGGCAAAGGTGCAAAGAATTAGGATGCTTTAAAAGGACACATGACACATTTGGTCCAAATATTTGCTAAACATCTATCTTTTAAGTTACATATTGTCCTATTTAATTTAATTTTTCACTAATATGAGTTAATGGACCAAAACAACTAAGTTTTTTTTCTCCTGCTGTAAGAAAAGGCTCCCACAATGGAAGAGTGAGTGAGACATTTGAGAGGGAAATAAAACAAATACATTAAATTTTCATAAAATCATCTCACCTATAAACAGCTGAAAGAGGTCGCTTGGATCCAGCTTTAGGTCTGTAAGGTTTAGGCTCCCCAGCCATATTAATGTCTACAACAGAAACAAAACACAGTAGGTTTATATGCAAACATTTGTAAAATATTCTTCCATATTTCTCAAATCATGTCCAAAGCTTTTTCTGAATGAGCACAGGCATGGCAGATAAGTTCTATTGTGGTTCTATCTAAAACAGTCAAGTGTACTGTGAACCTAAGGCCAGTAGTTACCACTTACAAGTTTCATTAATAAATAAAATCAAATAAAACCAGTCACCTTTAAGGATTTGCCATTAATTACAATTATTTTGTAATTTTTACAAAGAGCATATTCAATCTGAAACTTAAACTTGACTAATCTTAAATATACAACCAGCTTGTATTAAGTTACCAATAGGGTGTGGAAATATTCTCTTAGAGTGAATCGCATTGTCATTTAGTGCATATGTTAGATGTAGAAATTAGGATTGGAAAATCAGACCTGAACTCAGTTAATCCATCTAGTGTAGGTCATTCAATAGTCGTTCCACTTTCTCGAATGAATTCAGGTTCAACTAACTAACTTTCACAATATATTACTAAAAAATATCTATAGTCTAATATAATAATCAATTATTTAAGAACATAATCTAGGGTGCAAATGAGAGTATACTATTTGAACCATCTTTTGCAAACAGAATACACTAATATCCAGTGGCATGCAATTACCATTGACAAGATATGTATTAACTGTCACCCAAGAGGTAACACAAGATTCACACCATGCTCCATTTTTTCAGTGCATGTTAATTCCATTAATTAATCACTGATATTACAAAATGCATTTTCATAATTTTCTGTAAATTTTAAGGATGCAAATTGCTTATAAAGGCTACAAAATAATGATGCAATATGTTTGACTACATGCAACAAGCATATTGCATCTAATAAAATTCATGTCTTCTGTTTTTGAAACCCATAACTACGTTTCTTGGGTGATTCGTAAGCTTTTCATTAGTTAATTAATACTTAATTTCAATTTGAAAACCGCAGTACAGTAATTAGTCACCTTTATTTCAGAAATGATTAATGTTTTAAGTTATTAGGAATTCTGACTTGCAGTCTATTTTGACACCTTAATAACAAATATCATCACCATAAATTATTATATTTCATTAGATTAATAATGAAAAACTGAAATTGTCTTACAATCTGTTCAATTTCAATAGGCAGCATTTATTTAAAATTTGAAATGTAAATTTTGATTTCCTTTAGGATCATTACTCATTCTTTGATTTTGTTTTTGCTAGAAAGTCACTGTAATTAGAATATTTCAAAAGTCTTCTTTGTACAATGTAATTTGTAACTTGTAATCTGATCTACACTTTAAATAGTCTTTAGCTCTGTATTTACCTCTAGCAGTTACAGTACATAAGCTATTACTCATGATATATAGGTACTTTTGTAAAGGCACCTGCATTCCTGAAATTGGTAAAGTTTGGTGACCCTGCAAGGAATACAATTTTCGAACTCAACTTACAGTTAATAAAATTATAAATTGTTTTTTTTTTCTTGTGCACTAAAACACTTATGTTTGGGTAAACAGAATAATAGCATCATCAAGATATCTTAGAAAGGCACTGAGAGACATACAATGAAGTCATAAAAAGAGAAATGTTCTGAAAAGAGAAATAAGTCAAGCTGCCAGCGTAGGCAAAGTGATTTACTGCTGTGATTTATGTAAAAAAATGGAAAACCTAAAATATTGGGGTCTTCAGAAGGGCAACATTTTCTCAACCTGACTGATAGCTGCTCCTTCGCTCATCTCTTTTAAACCAAAGAATAATGATTCTATCTTGTCTGTTTTCTGTTCTATCTCCTATGATCACCTTGGGTGTGATTTTCAAGGTCAAAACCATTGCACTTTCAAAGCTATTAGAAGAGATAAAGGACCCAGACAGATCTGTAATGTTATGTATAGCGGTGTCATGATATTTATAACTCACATAGCTTTAAAAGGTTTTAGCCTCGATTACAGATAGAAAAATGTTTTTTTTTATTAATAAGCAAATTCTCCTTTTAAATAAAATGGCAACATTTTGAAAGGCGGATGAGTGGACAAACTGCTGGTAGTCGCACTCAAGCTTTTCCCTAGTGTTTTTAATTGTTCAACAAAGATATTTTTTGTACATGTTAATATGGACTTGTGAGTATGTTATTGAAGAAAAAAAAGACAGTTGTCTTTTCTGTGGTTCATTTGTGGCTTAGGAAAAGTGGAAACATTTGTATTTTTTCATAGAAAAGAGCGGAAAGCCAACATGCATTATTAAAAGTAGATGCTGCTAAAAAACAATAATAGGTGATTTTTTGCTGATTTAAGACAACTGGTATCTAGAAAAATCATATCCCAGATTTTCATTGTTCATTTTTTGACATCTCATGTCCTTCTACCTTTCCTTTTACGGATTCTGTTTTCTAATTAAAAAGAGAAACTGATAACTATGAAACAAAGCGAGCTGTTTCTCACTTATCATAACACGAGCTGTTTGTTTTACATGTCCCTTGAGCAGAGCTTAAAGGTAATGCTAATGACTAATCCCAGTTTCTATAACCCATATTTCAGACATGCAGTTTACCAATTGATATAGATATACAACTATCTCTTGGTTTCCCAAAGTAACTCATTCCTCAAAAACTGTTTGGAAAGAGACAAATCACATTAAAATTTAAATTTCTATAAATATAGAAGCTTATCATAAGTCCATTAAGTAAAGATTCTTACTATTACCTTAAGAGTGCTGAATTGTCCAAATAAGAACAATAGTGCATGTTTGTAATAATTACCTTTTTAACTTTGTATAGTAATTAACAAGACAAAATATGTAAAAACTGTGAAACTGTGTAAGATGTTGAGCAACTGTTAACTAAGCTGAGCTGAACTAAGGTGAACAAAATGCAAATATGTTTTGATTTTTGATTTTGTCTTTTGTTTTCCTTATTTTCTCTGCCTTTGTAACACCTGCGGCACTAGCAACACATTTTGCTCAAATGTTTAAAAACACTGAGCAGCTACAAAGTAAAGCAGCTGAATTGTAATGCAAATGGCTTAATTCAGCAGAAAAACAATCATTAAAATACATGCTTTGTTGTAGCATTCATACAGCAAGGGCTGGGTGTATATGGCTACACTGTGTATTTATTTTTGCTAGTTACTTACTGAGATATTTTGACAATATTTTTTTCAGCCAAACAGAAATGTACAGTATATAGTTTACAATAATTACAACTGTTATATTTTTCAGCTAATGCTAAAATACATTACATTGGAGATATTTCTTGTAAAGAATACAAAAAACATTACAAATAAATAATACCATGTAAAGAACATGCTCAGTATCTTGATAATTCATGGTATGTATGGCTGGCCTGAAGCTCATTTAAATCAAATCTGGCCCGCCATAGCAAATGAGATTGTCACAACTGTCATAGAGGAAGCAGTAAAAATGAAACCAGCTGTTCTCCAGGAAGAATGTTCTCCATGGTCCTGAAATCTGTTAAAAAAATTTCAGTGGTTGCTTGGTCTGTATTTTAAACACAAAACTGGTTTGAGCTTCAATAAACCATATAACCTGTCAGGACCCTTGATAAATTATGTTGCTAGATACTGGATTTACCATATAATAGAAATAAAATACAGGTACATGATATTATTCAGTTGCTTGTTACACATACTGTATGTTAATATTAACAAGTGGGAGAATGATTTTTGGAGACACATTGAAACACTTTTGAAGACAAATGGAAACTTAAAAATGATCTTGAAGTTCTTCCAAAATAAGCAAATATAAAATAATGTTATTAAATAATTATATAATAAAAAGAGACACATGCACATAAAATATATCAATCTAAATGGATAAACGCTGAGAGATATGGTTAGTAAAACTATTGACATTTTATTGAAGTTTATGTGTTACTAAAATCTCCATGGTAGTCACTAAACTGTTGTTGTAAATTTAAAGCACTAATAAAAAACAGGTCAGAAAACCCTTTTCATAATTTCTTATATCACTTTTTTTCATTAATCTGCATTATATTTTAAATCTTAAATTCCCTTTTTCCCCCCCCCTCGTTTCCCAAACTGTGCTCCAGAACAAAAAAAGTGCTGTACTATTTGAGAGAAAATCCAGACACCTCCACTTGGCACATCAATAAAAATCCAGCATGACTATCACAATTACATATATGAATAGACTGATTTGTAGGTCAAGATGACAGAAAGCCTGAAATTAAAACAATTTTAAAACAATGTCATGCGCAGGTTTAGTGTGCAGCTGTTAGTAAAAACTTGGAAATTGTGACTTTTTTTCCTGTTTGGTGATTTATTTTTCCAATTTTATGGCAGCGAGCCAGGATGAGGTATGTATAAATGTAAAAAAAATGAGTAACAAAAATGTGGCCCTATGCACTCTATAAATTCTGTAGTTGAATAAATTGTTTGTACAGGCCCTGCTTATCATATAGAGTAGTACAATAGTTTTTTTACATTCAATGAGCTCAATTATTTTACAAAGGATTGGAGGAAGGGAGAGGGAGAACAACTTAACACATTAATATGTATTCATTGTACAAGAACATCAAGCAGTCCTACAGAATATGAGGAAATTAAAGTTGTCTTTTTTCTGATAAGAGTCCTGGATTTAATTAGAATTTATTTACCTAATCAACATCCCATTTTGCAAAATATTAAAAAAAATGAGGGATAGAGTCATAAAAACATAGCAGTGATAAATACATATGAATCCTAGGCAACAATTCTTATCCTTTAATAATCTGCCTCCAAGCATGTTAAAAATTGAGTAAAAGCAGCACCCTAAATGAGTTCTGTTGGCAATGATTTTAATATTGTTGGACTGTTTCCAAGAGCCAACAATACAGTATTCGCTGTTTTCTAAAACATGTGTTCTATCTCTCCTTGAAAAAAAGGACATGGATTGAACATCAACCTTATTAATTAAAAAACCTTAAGTTATTTATTGTGTTATCTGTTGTAAACACACAACTCTGTCCATAAAG